CTGTTAAAATATAGAACAAAATTCCAGGGAAACTTGAATTAAATTGGGATCTGGCTCATCTCACCTAGTACAAATTTAGAACAACCTCATTAATTTTAAATACAGAAGTGTAATGAATTGCAATATGCCTGCCTTCTCTAAATCACTTTTTCCCCCTCAGTACAGTCACTAAAAAACAGTGCCTCGTAGTGTCTAGTTCAAGGAAGGCTCATTCTGCAGAATTTTGAGACCGAGTGTACTGCTGATCCTCTCAGCAGCTGTTCTACTGTGTTTACCAGAAGATGCCTCATTTCACACCTGGATATGAGAACAATTTGCATAATAGTGACTTTGCAAGTGTGACATTGTCATTGTGTCATTTCTTTAAAGCATACTTAAATTAGAGCTCTCCCTGATATATTCCAGCTGTCAAAGTTATTTCTATATTTCTGGCACACATTGAAATGAAAATGCTTTGTTATCTTATAGTTTAAAAATCTCTTGCTGAACACTGAATTGTAATGTGTGGTTCTCAAAACTAATCTGACTGTTGTCAAAAAAAACAATTTGAGGGAGTAACTAATCAAGGTTTTATAGAGCTGTATATCCCAATAGAAAACCATGATATTTGGTAACACTAAGTTACACAGGAAACAGTTTAACTCTGAAGTACAGTAAAGATAAGGAGAAAGTAGAGAAGTAATTAAAAAGCCTGAGCCAAAGCCCCTCAGGAGGAAGAAAAAAAGACTATTTGTATACTTTTATATACTGTGTGTATGTACAATATATGCTGCCACATACACAACATAAGAATCTGGAATACTAGTATTGGATTGGTACTGTAATTTGACTTGGACTTGATTTTTCTGCCTTGGTTTCTCTAGACAAATGCTTAATCATACAACTGTAAAGATAACATTAAAGTCACATGTTCAAATTCTCAACTGGTGTAAACCAACCTATTTCTATTGACTGTCATTGAACTAAAGATTTATTTTTGCTGGCAACCTGAAAAATTGTGCCTATGTTTTGTGACACCAGTGGAGTTTCTCCAGAGTTATACTAGAGTTAACAGAAAAAAGTTATTCAAGACAATAATTTGTTATAGAGGAACAACATTCCTGCCATACAAGAGCCTTGTAAGGATTAATTTGTGTTTTAAAACACTTCCAGTATATGAGCACTGTATCATATTAGTTCTCCAAATGCCTTCTACTGGTTGACTACCATTTAAGACATTACACAAAGCACCTGAAAAATATTTTTTCATATCTTTCCACTGTGGTTCAAGCCAATTTTGCTAGATCTGGTTCACAAGTTTTATACAACTTTTCCCAGTTATTTCCACTCCTTTCTGCTTAGTTAGGTGACTTTCTTTCCCTTTTTTCCTGGAAGAAAAATCAAAACAAATAAAAATCTCATCTAGTAAGGTACAACTCCTACAAAATGTATTCAAAAATAAGAGAACAAACCATCCAATTTCTGCATATGAAGCTGTCACAGAAAACTCTTGGAATTCTACACTTTGATTACAGACCCAGAAAGAAATATATATTTCCAGTATTAGCAAATTCAGCCATCATGCCAATGATTTGGCTTCAGCCAACAGACTGAAAAAAAGCTGAGCCATTTTGCACTATATCAATTTTAGCTTTGGTAATTTAATAACATTTTGAGAAGTAAAACCCACTAATGAATACTCTCTACATCAAGGCAGCATACATCAACAGATATATCGGAGAACTAGTCAATGAGAATATGGCATTTAGGCCAATTCCTGCAAATGACTGGGTTAAGGCTGAGAGAGCTGAGTTAGCAAAGACGATCGTTTGAATTATTTCAGCCAAAATAAGTCAAGCTGGGGAGCAATCAACCAGTTCAGCTTTAAGATCTGAAGAGGAGGTGGAAAAGGATCAAAGGAAAGACAGGTGACAAGACCTGCAACAAGGTGGAGGGAAGGATGGATAATAACTTTTTTAGCCAGCACAGAAGGAACTAGAGGAACAGTATGTGGTCTAAGATATTCTAAAACCACTTCACATCAACCTGGCAATATAAAGGGTGTTTGTGTAAATGAGAAGTTAATCAGCTTTTCCCTGACACCGGCCCACGCCTCCATCTAGAATTCCCTCTTCTCACACCCTCAACCCTGCTTTTCATTCTGTCGTCACTGACTTGATTTTCCCTTTCATGGATTTTTGCTTGAAAAAGCATCACTGCCTTGATTGTCTATTTTCAGCCTACATTTAAGAAAACCCTTTAGTTCCATTTGTAGCCACATCCTGTCTCTGCTTCCCCCTCTTTTTGTTCCTAAATATAAGGCTGATGCAATTTGATGTGACACAACAAAATAGCACGTTTGCAACAGCAGAAACTTTCTCTCAACAGCAGTAATTAAAGGGAGTAGATGAGATATTGCCGAAATCTGTGTTTATTTAGCCTGAGGGGAGAAGGGGGAGAGAGAAAGCTTAAAGAGAACTTAAAGAGGAATGTTGAAGTGTGTGAAGAACATGAAGTCTGTCCACGAGTGCCTTTTTACATGCTTCCTTTTTCCAATAGGAAATGATAGCTCAAAACAATTTAATCAATTCAAAAAGATAAGAGGAGAGATTTCTTTAGATGATATTCTTAACTAGTGAAAAAAATCACTTAACATATTTCCTTGAATTATAAATAGTACCAAGACACACTTGTGGTTACACATGAGAAGGCAAGGTCATTGAATCTCAAACTTCAGTTTCAGGCATTCACAAATTGAGTAGAAACAGACTGAGATCTCATTGATTACAGGGAAATTGTGCTTAAATATCTTTAAAGTTTTGTATTGATATGCATATCAGATATGTACTCACCTTCATCTACAGCACAAGTTTTTGTTAATTGCCAAAGACAGGACTTCAGAAGCGGTGGACCAGGGCTCTGAAGGGAATAACTTCACCAGGATTCATATAGTGAGTTAGAATCAGGCTTCTAAAGAAACTTATAATTTGTTGTGATTGACTCTGCTGCACGGATCCACTGCATATACTTGAAGCAGAACGAGATACCACCAGCTTCCTGCACTGTATTTCCTTATGGATGACATCGACAGAAGACCAGGGGACAGGACATGGATCTGTATTTGTGGTGGTGAGTCCTGACATGCACTGAACATGAAAGTGTTCCAAGCACAGTGTAATGAGGCAGAGTAATAATACACAGACCTCATTTCTTCCATAGAATGGAGTCCTCCGAGCATAGGCAGTCAATGAAAAAAGTTGTGATTACAGAGGTAGGGAAGACAGCAGGTTTTTATAGAATATTGCCATAGGTTTTATAGTAAAAATCCCTAAAATTCAGTTTTAAGAGGAACAGCCCTCAGATCTTAGAGCTTATGGACCTCATCCCTGCACAGCCTAATAAATTTAAGGGAATACCCAGAACATCTGAAAGTCGAGGGTTATTCTTGTTTTTAGAAAGTCACTTTAGCTTACTCAATCCATTTGAAGAAGTCACATACAGGTACTGATAGAAGTTCCATAAGGTACAAGATTTAACAGACACTACATGCTTTAAAATGAAACTTCTTTTTCTCAAGAGAATCTTCTTTCACTTCTTTGTTTACTTTAGTCTATTCTTCTAAATCCATCTGTGATTGACACTACCACTCTGCTTAAAACTGGCAGACCACATTCTGAGCAGGCTCATTTCCATCTTAACACAGATGACATCAAGGATAGGGCAGGCCAGAAAAAAAAAAAATCAGTTTGCATATTATGCTTCAGTTTTTATAGGCTGAATTACTATTCAAAGCCGTCAAAATGGCAACCCATATGCGAGTGCCTGCCATTGGCATTAGAGGGATACACCATCATAACCATAACATAACTAGTTATCAAAGATTTGATTAATATTAATCTGATATTTCAAGAGCAGAAATAGTTTCCTTTCCAACAAGGATTTGGCTTTGACAAATCAAAGATACAGCTCTCGCGAACCAAAGAGGAAAGACATCATCTTGTCTTCATCCCTATCAGCAAGGCTCTCTTGGCAGAAAATACTTAGCACCCATGCCAAATATTCTGCTTAATAACTTAGCCAGGTGCAGATGCTGGCTATGTAATTTGTTCTACCTTCTTTGTTCTACAAGCCAGAATATTGTTCCTACAGCTTTTGGAAAAAAAAGCAAGGGTATGAAGAGCTCCTTGCATGTTTTCATTGGTGCAAGAGTATCAATTGTTTAAAGACACCCTTAGAAAAATGGAATTTGTCAACAACAACATGTGCAACTACTCAGTACAGCAGCAGAGAGCTGTGTCCAGAGGATCCTAAAGTTCTGCTAAAACAAGGTCAGAAACACAGCAGTCTTCCATTTCCAGACTCCTATCAAGGGGCTGCCTCCCTGCAGTAGCTTACCAGATACAAACAAGCATGCTGGATTTCATGTACTGCAAGGTATCTGTATAGCCCAGCTGCCCCAGTTTACAGCCCATGCTTCCTAGTTTACAGTATGGAAAGCAGGCAAGTCTGCTCCTGTGAACAGCCCTAATAAACAGTAAAGATTATTTTAAGTCTCCTGCTATGTTATTACAGCATCTGAAATTCAAGCAACTGTTGTGCTAAATGACAGCACCAGGAACACCATCCCGTGTCATTAACAATAATGGGAGAAATTTTGATCTGCAAGTTCTCATTCCTCTGGCTTCTCTACTGTTGTGGTTAAGACATTGTGTTGATTCTTGAGTCGTTCTATTCTCAATCCAATACAACACACACTGCACGAGCAGATTCCCTCCACCACACTAAGATTGCTTATCCAGTTGCAATCCTGATTAAAAGTATCTGTCAAAATATTGTTACCTTTGGTATCTTTATAGACAATTTACAGGAAGTGTTCTGATAGAGCATACATCAACAGGATTGGGGTGAATACAAAATGCCACTTAGAAATCACACCTGAGACATGTACAGCCACAACAAATCTGCATCCACTTCGTTTTACTGTTTAGTTGTGCAGGGATGAGGGGAGAGAGAACACTTACAGCCTTCAGAGCAGAACTTCAACTATCTTCACAGATTAGGTCTATCAAAGTCCAACAGTAAGCAAGAGACCTGCAGAGAAGAACCAATTGGTCATTAACTGTTCCTCCCCAACTTACTACTTAACATACTATCAACTAAGTGCAGAGAAGCCTATCTACAGCACAACTCTATCACATTCACTTTCATCTAACTAGTTACTTTACATGTGAATTCATGATTTTGAGAACAATATTATTGCTTTCAATAACCTACTCTGAAAACAAATATACACTACAAAAATTACAAATAGAGAGCAACTTCAAAGTCTGCAGTGGAACTGAGCCTTCAAACTTTGCTGTTAAATATTTTCTCATCTGCAAAAACTGTTAACTATTTTAAATAGCGGTTTCTAACATTTAGAACTTTGTACAAATAACAGTTTCACTGGAATTACGTATTTGTCAGAGGAGAGCATTGCTCTGGAAAAAGCATTCCCCCACTTCAGGGCAATGCAGTAACTTCTGATAAAAATCTAGGTAGCATTAGGCCTTGACGGTTACTTGGCATTCCATTCCCCCTGCCATGAAAAGCTGCATGGGAAGTGGTACCACCAGCTCAGAACATCTAGTACACTGCTGCAGGAAGGAGGGCAGGGAGTAACTTCTTGAACAACACCCTAGTTGTACTACCAAGCTAAGTTTTTAGAAGTCAGCTCCCAGAAGGCTGCAGAAAAAAAGAAATTACTTCCTTGAGAATTTTAACTGAAATCAAATGATGCACAAAGTGGAACTGTTTTTTACAGTTCTAGCAGGCAAAAATCATCTGGGACAATCTTCCTTTTTTATAGTATTCTTATTAACACATTTTAACAGCATGCCACATGTTGCTTCAGAGTTGCACCTTGTTGTATTTTCTGGATGATTCACGTCTGGCCCTAACAGGAAAAAAAAATAATCAGGCCTCTTTTTTCCACCTGCCTGTATTATTTACAATAGCTTATTCCCAGGTTTTTGACAGGGCAAAGCATAACACAAAGGGTTTTGACCCATAGCAAGGGACATTTATCCCACACATGAAACTTCTGTGCAATCAAATATTTGACTGCACAGTGAGTAAAGTGAATCAAGTAGGGTTGACTTCAGAGAATTGGTCTAATTCCCCTATTTGTAACTTGATTAGAAGTTTGTTGAAATCAATAGATTGGATTGCACTGACTATCCAATGATCTCTGGATCATGCCTCATCTCAGATCATCTGGTACCTCATAGAAATCTTCAGAAACAGCTTGAAACAAAAGCCCAGGAAGACAACGATGACAAAAATCTGAACTGATCCATTATGCCTTCCTTTGAAGGATGTAAATGTAGTTCAGAATTTTGCCTTAAAATTGTCAAAGAATTACAAACTTACAAATCAAGGATAACTCTTATCACAGGTGAAACCTTGGATTTTTTTCAGGTACTAATTATGTCAGAACTTGGCCACATTATGGGTGACCACAGGTTGGGATGTTCAGTCTGATTTTTGACATTTATGTACTGCTAATAACCTTCTGAAGGCATAGTTACATAAAGAAGGCAGGCTCCTAGATTTAAGCATTCAAAATTGCATTTTAGCTATGGTTCATAAGAATTGCATAAAGCAGCTAAGGCCTATATTTTTTTGCAAGTTCTCTGAGGTAAAGCCTTTGCCATCCATCCACACAGCTAACATTGTCACCCAAGTTCTCAATCTCCATCTGAAAATGTACTCACCGCCCTTTTCTCTGCACTTAGTCTTGCCCTATTGTTCATCTACACCGTAAAAGGTTTTTCTAAACTGTTGCTTCAACTGTGTCAGCCTTCTCTTTGCTTTCCCTTCACCATCTTTTCCTTCTATCACATAAATAAGCTATTTGACGTCAAGTTCCTGATAGCCTATTCTCTCCCTACTTATCTCTGACACCGAGTTGTCAAATTCTGCCTCTAACCAGCCTATAACACTAACTTCCAGTATTTACTTGTAAAATTTTTTTTAAATGTACTATCTGTGTCTTGATGCCTCAAGAATTAAGAGGTAATTGTTAAAATAAAATTAAGTTTAAAAAGCTTAATTTTCCTCTTTCCCAGAATAATCACCTTAAACACCCTGATTACAGCACACTACAAAACACCCAGTAAGACTGCATGAATCTAGGTGCTGTCATATCAAGACGCACACAGGAAAAATTCCCATAGGAGGATGGAAAAGAAGAAACCAGAAGATCAGATTCAGCTTTAGTAAAACCCAGTCCTGAGACCACTGAAGCATTCTAGCTTTGGCACAAGAATTCAGTACTGAGAGCCACCTTATGTTATTTTCATCTATCATCTGAATTTTCTTTTCTGAATGGCAGAAAAGACTTTTAATATCTATCCTAGATCAGTCCTGCAGAAAAAAATCTATTATTTAGAATATTAATTAACATTTTATGGATATACCTGCTGCAAGTTACCCCACTAGGATATTTATGATGCCCTTTCAGAAGTACATTGTCCTTTGCTGTTAACATGTGGCTAATATAATAGCCAAAGAGCAACGTAATTAACTCCTCCATAGGCTGAAATTTAAACCAGTAATTACTTCTATAATTCACTTAGAGCATCAGTCACCTTTGCTCAGAAAGCTTTCCAAATCTATTCAAAATACACCCAATTTAGCTTTGAGAACATGACCAAATAGTATCTGTTGCTGTATTTCATTGTTTAATGACAAAAACTGCTTAAGGTTTAATTTGAATTTGTACTTTGAAAGTAGGAAAAGGCCTTTGAAAAGGACAATTAATTCTTGTCAAACTTAAGGTTCCTTTACATTGTATAAAGAAGTACTGCTGTAAATTTGAATTACATTCTTAACATGTTTACTAGCTGGTATAAATCAGTTAAAGCCAATAATCTCCAGCTTGCTGTGCTTTTTATACCACCTAAAAGCCCAGTGTCTTCTCTTTATCCCAGAACACAAAGCTGATCTACCCAATCACCAAGTCTTATATTTTTATATATATATATATATTTTTTTTTTTATATAAGATCCTGATAATATTTCTGGATAGCCAACCATCAGTAACTTCAAAGGCTACAGCTCAGAACTCTTCTATGGTACTATAACAATTACTATCTGCTACTGTAACTCTTCTCCCCAATACCAAGCTCTTAAGTACCCCTGAAACTGTTCAAGAAAACATGAGCTTGCTTTCCATTTGTATGTGCATACTTCTAAGCAACATTGGAGCACATGTTCACACCTATTTAGGGATGAACAAAGTCTTTCTATATTGCTGCTCAATTTCTTATTTATCATTCAATTTCTTATTTATCATTCAATTTCTTATTTATCATTCAATTTCAAACATCCTTGCCATATCCCAAAGGATCAGAAAAATACTAGAACAATAGTATATATTTAAGTATTTTCATAAATGGTGATTAAAGTGTAATTTGTCACATTTAAGAAGGCAGATGTCTGCTGTTTTTAAACACTAAAAAGTTAGATACCAAAAAGTTTAAAATGAAGAAATGGGTAGGAAAAATGACCAGGATTACACACACTCGACTCTTCTACTACAGCATAGAAATATAAAATTCTGATCCAAAGCCAGATAAATATTTTCATAGCAATCTGACAAGAAAGCTTCCTCATTTGATCACAATGAAAGAGTTAATATCTGTGACCCAAATATGGAGACCTATTTTAAACTTGCTGAAAATTGCTTTTTAATCCTAGCTCTCGAGGATTTCCTTTGAAACCATCTGCTGTGCAAACTGGGTACTCTTTTCCTGTATATATGTGGGATTACTATAATATGGATTCTTTTGTGTAACTTAATACTTTTTAGCATATTAAAAAAATATTAGTTGAGTTTTTTTTCTTTTCTGATTTCAGCCACATACCAGAAGATGACCATAAAAGTCAGTCATAAGTTCATGGCAAAAGCTGACACCTATATTTATCTTATACTGCAGTATTTACATTGAAACTCAAATCTTAATATACTTAGTCTGATGTAACATGGGATTTAAGCAAACATTTATGAGTTATTTAAGTAATGTTACTTATACACAAGCTTAAAATTAAGCTGAAGTATTTTCCTGGATGGGAATGGATTTCAGCATGTGCTTTCCCAACTAAGGTATAGTTTGGATACTGAAGACAGAATTAATATGCATGATAAGCAAAGACTGAAAAAGATTTCCAGCTATCTTCTCAAATCTGTTGTTCAGCCTTTCTATTTATTTGCTATGAACTTCTATTGAGTTGGATTTTTCTAATACAAATGTTGAAGGAAAGTGACATTTAAAGCCATATTCATAAGTAAACTGAATTTTACGATTGGTACATGCAACCATAAGTACCTTAGCAATCAACCCAATACAAAAATAAACAATGTATTGCTTATCAGAATAACCACAGTCAGAATGATTGAAATAAACATCCAGCAAGATGCATTTACAATCAGTTTATTGTACTGCTCCATAAAGTCAAAAAACAAAATCAAGATAAATAGCGAACACATTCAGCACGAAATACATTAAAATATGATTTGCCTGCAAACATGCTGAGAATAGGAAGATAAGGAAGTAACTTCCTTAATTTTAAACATTATGTGAGGTGGTACTAGCCTGTCAGAAGAGAGCCAAACCCAAACCTGTGAACTTCCTAAGCTGCAAAAAACACACTTCTGAGGAACATAGAGTATGGATTTTGTGCTAGCAGCCCTCAGAGACCTCATTCACACTGCTCCATTTCATAATGAGTCAACTAACTTATACAAGTGAATGGCAATACAAAATCCCACACCCAAATACTCCGTTCTTAACTGAAAAAAAAGAACTCCATATCCCCTAAGTTTTCCCAAACGAGCAATCAGAGTTAGAAATGACTGATATACAGGAGAGATCTACACATGCTGATGTTGGAAGAATGTGGAGAGAAGAAAAAAATCCAAGCAAATCACTTTGTTTCAGCAATAACAGATGTTGGAGCACCATCCTGCAGACATGTTACTTTTAATACAAAATGGCTTATGAAGTGACTGAGGGGGTGGGGACAGAATCAATGCCCAATTACCCAGT